TTTTTAACGTGATTCTGATTTACGTGATTTTATGCATTTATCAATAAGATATAATTATTTTCATTTGTATTCATTCATTTTGAATTGTACTCTTATCTGCTGTAACCAACAAAATATTTCATAATTTAAGGTCCTACCAGTATCCACTACCTAGTTTAGTAAATGATCCAGCATAGTTGGGACTTCATCCCATGCAATTTGTTAGTATATATACATAACAATTATAACAATTACGCTGTGGTCTTTTAGGGGTATAGCAACACCGAGCGGGACAAAGAGACTCAACAAGCTAGTTAGGAGAGCAGCTCTGTCCTGGACACGTCAACATATTCTGTTTAAAATTACTTGAAAGAATATACTGTATTGACATTTCAGCTCAGACCATCCAACCATTCTCAACTTGTTCAAGAACAAAACATTTTGAACAAACTGCAAAGCAGCTGGTAGAAAAACTCCAAAACTGCCAGCCCAGCTCTGGATTTTGATTACAATTCATTTTGTAGCTACTATAATGATCTATATCCTGCTCACAGAGACAAGAGGCAGCATAAACACAGCTTTTAAAACAAAAGGTGTGAACAGAAGTTAAACTTCTATTAAAAAGAACTCAGCTGTCATGAGGTCCTGGGGCCTCATGTTTAAACGGTACGTACGCATAAAAAAGTTGCGTGCGCCAGGTTCTACGCCCACGTTGTGATGTATAAAAACCAACGTTGCGTTTTCACCTGCCGTGAGAATGTGCGGCAGCCACGCAAAATTTTTCATCCGACAGTTTTAACTCACAAAGTCATGAATCTGACCTGGATCAACAGATATGACTTTGCTGTGTTTACTAGATGTAAGGAGCGTCTGAACACGCTGTTAGATTTTTATTTTAGTTTGAGTTTTTATTGTTTAAACTTGAACGATCATGAAACTGAACCCCGGGACTGAAAATCATTTAACCTCAGACAAGAAAATAGATCAGTCTAAAAATGATCAAAGAACCTCAGTCCAGTCTGTAAACTGTTTTTATATTTTTGTCACATAGTTGAAAACCTTTTGGGTCTCGGGCCGGAAAAACCCGACACATTACGTGCGGCTTAAAAATAATAATAAAATTAAAAAGTCTGAAGAGAGGGAGCAAAATCTGATGCAAATGGTGGCTCACTGTACGGTAAGAATAATTATTTTTTCTGTTTGTTGCCTTCTGGCTGATGCTGAGTTGAGTTGTGGCCGCAGCGCATCAGCTGCGCTTTGGGTAGATTCTCACGCGCACCCTCGCCAGCTGGGAAGGTGTTCATATATGTCATCCCCTTTGGACATTTACCTGTCAAATGAGACTCAAAAATCTATATTTTTTGCTAAAAATCCGTAGGCTACCACTCGTACCCACGCGTGGGGGTGGGGTGGGGGTCTGTATGTGGAGATGACAGCACCTGCTGTAACGCAGGAGGAAAGGAGAGAGGAAAAAGTGGGTAACGTAATGTTTATTGTTTTTTCTAATTTCATTTTTATTTAATTTTTTTAAACGTCCGTTCAACGCCGTGTTCATCTAAATAGACAACAACTAACCAGCTTCAATATCACATTCGGGAGATGTCTGTAAATTTCAGGAAAATCTCAGGCTTTGGTTATCCCGTGTGAATGCGCCACATAAAACAACGACACCCCACTACTTAGTTTTCTCACTCCTTCTCCATTTAATGTATAATTTTCCTGCATCTAAAAATCATTTCTGATCCCACAGAGAGGAATCTGAGGAGAAGCTCACATGCTGGACACATTTACATCTATTTTACATATTTAAATGGAGGTGTGTCAGCGGAGGTGTCTCACGTGCGCTAAGTTCCACATTCATTGGGATGTATAAAGGAAAGGTGTGCAGGAACATGCGTACGCATGATTTTATACATCTGAATTTTTTGGTGCAGCGCACTTTTCTGAAATTGTCCGTACATCAACTTTTAGTGTGAAAGCTGCGCAATCCTTTATGCATGAGGCCCCTGATGTCTGGTAAATGGACTACCAGATCAACAGTTTTCAGTGTCACCAAGGAAGATTTCTTTGAGCCAATCACTGCAGATGTTGTGGTCCATATTTTCTTTCTCCTAATTTTAATTTACATGTTTAGGTTCACATTTTTACTCAGTAACGAGTCAAAGTAATGGGATGTCTAATTCCACTGAGTACGATATTTGATGAAAATACTCAAATAAAATTACAGACTTAAATAAGTAGTTTAAAAATGTAAAGTACACAAAAATCATACTCCATTACAGCACAGCAAGTAAATATAATTTTATATACTCCACTTCTGCTTATCACACACTAGGCGTTGAGCCTGGAAACTTCTCATGAGTAGGAAACATGAAATGTTCAAATGAACTACCAACAAAATAGTTTAAAGTGAAGCCCCAAAGCTATACTGATAAAAAAGTTTAGTTCAAAGTGAGTTGATAAGAAAATGTTTCATCTTGGAGGGTTGGGGGGGGGGCTGTTCTTTCAAGTCTATTACTTTTAATGAATGTAAACAAAGATGTAAAAATACATTTTCTTTATTTAAAGGTAATCCTCATGGGGAAATTACCTGAAATTCTAGTTAGTCAGATGTTGGATGAGGCTATCAGAATATGCACAATACAGCTACAGGTGGCAGAGTTAAACTAGAGCATGTTTTGTGCTGCAGACTGCTGACCTGTTTGCGTTCCCGTTTGGTGTGAATGTGCTGGGAAGGCTGAGGTGGCGGTTGCTGTTGTTGAGGCGCTGGGTTCATAATGACGGGTGCTGCTTGCACCGGCGGGGTGAACTGAGGCTGTGTGGGGTAGTAGGCCCCTGCTGTGGATAAAAAACACAGAAGAATGTAAACCAACACCAAACGGACTTAATCCTATAGCTGTCACTGGGCACAAACATTTACTTAGCCTGTGGTTACACAATATCCCCAGTCTCAATCATTGATGTTCTGTACATTTTTGAGTCAGGAAGAAAACCTGCACATAAAAATGTTAAGCCTTGAGCTAAACTCTTTTTGACCATATGTTAGTTTTACTAAGAATCTGGGTAATACTAATCCAGTTTATATAAACGTGGGTGCTGGCCTTAAAACTAGAATATTATGAAAAAGTTTAGTAATTCCATTCAAAAAGTGGAATTACTATGTATTATTTCCATTCATTACACACAGACTGAAATATTTCAAATGTTTATTTCTTTTAATTTTGATTATTGTAACTGACAACTAATGAAAACCCCACATTCAGGAACTCTAAAAATTAGAATATTGTGAAAAGGTTCAATATTAAAGACACCTTGTGTCACACTCTAATCAGCTAATTAATTCAAAACACCTGCAAAGTTTTTATAATTTTTAAACTAAAAGTTTAAAATATATTAAAAGAACGGGGCCATTTTATTTACATGCAAAGCATTCTGGGTAATTTATGACGTGGATAGGTCCTCGGTGCGAGGCTGCTAGCGAGCTATATCCACCATGAAGGTTAATCTTGGACAATATCTGACAATTGGCTTTTTCAAAGGAGACCAATTATGGGTCCTAGAAATGTTTATGTTATGTCTGTGGGCTATCCAGACCATGTTCATTCAATTTAATGCACAAAATAATTCTCAGATAATAAAATTTCCCATTTTCTAGTTCTGCCTGCTCTGACTTCTGTTCAGAAGAGCTGTTTATGTTAATGAGCTCAGTTGGTAACGCCCTCCAAAAATATGTTGACATTAACTCCGCCCTCCAAAGCCAGCGTTTACGTTAGCATTGGCTAATAATAGCAGAAGCTCCGTTGTACAACCATATGAGACCCAGAGGCAGAGTCATGGTCCCAGTTTCTTTTTTTTTTCTCTCCCTCCTCTGCTCTGTGCTCACTCTGCATGCTGTTACCAGAGCAGGAAGCAGCAGCAGTCAAAATACCTCAGAAACTCAAACAAATAGGCTTTAACAAGGCTTTAATAAGCTAAACAATAGAGGTACATGAGAAAATGTGTTCATAACGAACAAAAATAAATAAATAATTAAATTGTGTCCGTGCCGCTCTCTGGTCCAACACTCTACCCATTGCCCAATTGGAGGCTTGTTGTGAACTGAGCTACGCATTGCACAACAACACGGTGACTGCTTTTTATGTTGGGGAGGTGGAGTGTCACCCTGGGGTTGCTAGGTAAGGGGCTGAATGCAGGTTCCAGTAGGTTGTCGTACGGCTTGTGACATCACAAAATAACGGAAGTATAAAACTTGTCATTAATACACATTAAAAATACATTTACTTAAAGTAAATATGCCCCTGGGTGCATTTTTTTTTTTGGTCCTAGGACTGTTTTTTTTAAGAAGTACATACCCAAAGTTGAGTAAAAAAACCTTCAAAAAGTGAATTTTGCATAATAGGTCCCCTTTAAATGAAACCAGAGAGCGTTGACAGAGAGGAGAAGGTAGAAATGACTCAGCCTGGAACTGAAAATATGGA